GTAATATATAGCCTACAGCATTCCTCGATAAATGCACTGTCCAATAAAAAAAGATTTTTCAAATCGGAAGAGCAGAGAAATGTTATAATAATAATAATAATTTAATTTATTTGCCAAAATACAGTTCACAAGTTGATACATATTAAGTAAGTACGTGTATTCTACCTGCAGGCAGGTGTGCAAATATTGTAGTCAGTTATTTTTTTCATCTGTCATATATTCCTTAATACTATAATAACATTTTTTTTTGTAACCATTTTGTCAACTTACTTCTAAACAGTGTCCCAGTTTCTAATTTTATATTGTCAGGTAATTTATTATATATACATATTAACATGTTATAAGCATTAACTTTATAAATATATGCGTGGCAAGGAGGCTGATATAATAAGTATCTATATTGACATCTCGTGTGTCTATTGCTCATTTCTACGCGCTTCTCGAAATACTTGCTGTGATCCCTGACAAATAAACATGCTTCCTTTATGTACATGCAGGGCAATGGAAGTATTTCAAATTTTTTAAATAAGGGTTTGCAGCTTTCGAGAAACCAAGCACCATCACCATCTAACATTCTAATGCATTTTTTTTGCATCCTAAAAACCCTATCGATATCTACTGAGTTACCCCATAAGAGCAGTCCATAACTTAAGGCGGATGAAACATATCCGTGGTAAGCCATTTGCGCAGCCTCTGTCGATACTGTTTGTCTCAACCTTTTTAAGGCAAAAACGAATTTTTCTATTTTCGAACAGACAGAATCGATATGACATTTCCAGTTTAAATTCTTATCAACAATTGTACCAAGAAATTTAAAAGATTCAACTCTTTCAATAAGAACCTTATTATGACATGGTTTAACAGAGAGAGGTTTACTTTTAGTACAGTCAATCTGTCGAAAAAAATATCGTTTCAGTGAAAAAAAAACCTAAAGGGTAAGTCTTATTTTTTCTGTTGCCAAATGACGTCAGTAAGCCACCTTGGCGATGGGCATGTTCAACTCGTAGGCGTTTTTTGAAAAACTCAAAAAAACCGTCAAAAATTTTTTGAAACGCATTTTTCTTGTTTTTTATGCATTTTAGAAACTCATTTTTTGACCATAATTGTAGAGGGCGTTGAGTGCTACAATTTATGTCATTGTTGCAATCTCGTACAACAAAAAATGCGTATTGTAGGTGGCGCTAAAGTCTCAATAAAGTGTTTTTTCACTTTTTCACCCTGAAAATATCATTTTAATGGAAAACTTTAAATGGCAAAGTTGTTTCGTAAATAATTACCAACAACTTTTGTATAAACAATTTTTTCGTATTACTTACCGTTTTCAAGTTATAAATTGCGCAGGTATGAAAAATCCAATAGAGCGGTTTTGGGCAGTTCACGTACACATTTGCAGTGCACATTTCAATGTACGTTTTACTATTTTTTATTTTTTTTTCATGATTGAAAAACAAAAAAAAAATGAAAAAAAAATCTTATTTTTATTTCTTTTCATGACTGCAAAAAAAATAGTAAAAACGTACATTGCAATGTGCACTGCAAATATGTACTTGAACTGCCCAAAACCGTTCTATTGGATTTTTCATACCTGCGCAATTTATAACTTGAAAACGGTAAGTAATACAAAAAAATTGTTTATACAAAAGTTGTTGGTAATTATATACGAAACAACTTTGCCATTTAAAGTTTTCCATTAAAATGATATTTTCAGGGTGAAAAAGTGAAAAAACCCTTTTTTGAGACTTTAGCGCCACCTGCAATGCGCATTTTTTGTTGTACGAGATTGCAACAATGACATAAATTGTAGTACTCAACGCCCTCTACAATTATGGTCAAAAAAAAGGTTCTAAAATGCATACAAAACAAGAAAAATGCGTTTCATAAATTTTTTGACGGTTTTTTTGAGTTTTTCAAAAAACGCCTACGAGTTGAGCATGCCCATCGCCAAGGTGGCTTACTGACGTCATTTGGCAACAGAAAAAACAAGACTTACCCTTTAGGTTTTTTTTTCACCACTCAACCTACAGATTGACTGTACTATTTGGTAAGAATGAAATTGCATGATCTTAGTTTTTTCCATGTTGATATTAAGTCGGTTTGCGACTAGCCAGGTATTATGGCATTAGGTGTTGCATTCGGTACAACGGGTCCTTAACTACGCAACGATTTTTTTACGAATGGAAGGTTTATAATTATTAAGAAGATAGTCATTGAGTATATATAATACAAGCCTTTGAACAAAAACTATAGTCTATACTACAGCTCTGCACCGAAGCAAAGCGAGGGCGGGCCACTAGTCTAATATATAAAATCCTTGTGTCACGGTGTGCATAATTTAACTCCTCCGAAACGGCTCGACCGATTTTCGTGAAATTCTATATGCATATACACATTGGACAACATTTATTTTTCATCCCCCTAAATGTACCCTTATAAAATTGTTTTTGGACCTTTTTTGTGTTTATTTTTTTATCATCATACAAAAATACATACATCCCTAAATTTTTACCCTTCTACCACCCTATATTTTTATGGCGATACGAAGTTCGCTGGCTTAGCTAGTAATATATAAATTTAAATTAAATATAATCATCGATAAAATAAAGGATAAAACGTAAAATTTGGTTAAAGATTTTGTTTTAATTTGATTTATCTATAGTATTTTCATTTGTTATTATTTTCGATACGACCATCAATAATGGCACTTAATTCCTTTTATGATTTATAGTTTACAAATCAATGTAGATACTTTTTAAAATCGTGTCCTACAACTGCATGTCACAATTGACAGTAAAGAACAGCAATTTACTGCTGCAAATTTATACGAAACTTAATGCTTATTAAGTGTATTTAGTGTATATTGCTATCATAGCCTGCGCTACTATAGAAACCACACTTACTAAATACAATAATTTGTCAATTACTCGTTGTATGTAGTTATTGTACTAATATTAATGCAAACAGAAATTTTGTTATTGTAATCAAAAATAATATTGATTCTTCCTATTTTTCCACAAGTAGTAGTATAATTTACACATTAAATATTTAAAATAGAACATAGAATAATTAAGTATTATTAAATTCGTAAAAAGCTAATTGACGTCTATGGGGACTAAATCCTTTTATATTGATTTTCTTAATTCGGAATATTGAACAAAGTGGTAATTTTGTTATACGTTTATTAATGATTCATATCTTATTAATATTTAAAAAATGTCACATCATTATGACAATTCATTAAAAACATAATCTGCTATTTGAGATCCCAAAGTAACATTGAGCTTTTGGTCTAAAAAGTGGTTACGGCTAGGGTTGCCATGCGTCCGGAAAAAGCTGGACATAGTTAGGATTTTAGATTGTTTTATCGGCCAAAAAAAATGGTGTCCGGCTTGTCCGGCTTTTATCAGGCTTTTTACATTTCGCAAAGGAGCGAGCGCCTAATATGGCCGAGTGCAAGCGAGTTGACTGTCGGCTTGCTTGCTTTGCTTTCACATATTTTTTTGTCGTACCTAATATTACTGAGCTACAAAATTCTCAATAATGGGTGTCCGGCCTTTTACCCAAATATCCGGCCAAACTGGCTGGTCTGTCCGGCTATTAAGTTTTGCGACCTGGCTACCCTACTTACGGCCGGTTAAATAATCAAACTTTGGTAAGAGTTAGGCCTCATTGATTGATAAGGTGTCCATTAGACTTAAAAGTAACCAGTCACCCCAGTAGACTACATTTTATCCACCAGCCATAAGTTTGACTGCCAGCAAATTGACAGCAAAAACTACCACCTAATGGCCGCCCTAGATCTTTGTTGCCTTAATATTTTCATTATTTAGATTATAGTAACAACTGTTGCTAAGAAACTGAACCAGATTATCCTTACCTTTTACTGAGGTTGATTACTGAAACTGACCATTAGTGCATAACGTCAGTTTCTATATTAGGTTTCGTAACGTAATAGTTATATTCACAAAAGAATTTGATATCTAAGCTAGACTTAACATAGAACGTTTTTTATTCGTATTTATTTTTAAGTTTGATTTTTACGTTCTTTATTCATATTATCCATAATAATATTAAGTAAAGTGTCTATCTGTGACCTCTTCACGCTGAAACCGCTGAATCGATTTGAAGATAATTTGGTATAGGGATAGTTTGAGTCCCGACAGTCTACCCCGATAGGTTTCATCGTAGAAATCATCCTTGGAAAGGGTGAAAAAAAGGGGGGAAGTAAGTATGGGAGATGGATGGAAGAAACAAGGCATATGTTTTTATTTCTTTTAAGTATTTAATTGCTAGATATTTAAATCTAAAGAAAAGTTTTACTAGAAAAAAAAATGTAGAATACTTGTTGCGAATGTTTAAAAAAAACTTTACACTGCATAGACAACTAGTATCTTACAAGTGTAAATAACTTTATTCACTTCACATATTTTGCTTATTCAACAAGTTTTATGCAAGTATTGTATGCTCATGTATTGAATGAGAACAGAAAATTAAGACATTATTTTAAAATTTTGATAAATAACATACCTTGGTGAAAACGAGGGGTAAGCAGTAGAAGTCCACCCACTAGTAGAAGTTTGAATTCTTCAAACGATTAAGGAAGTTTATATTAAAGTTTTCTGTTTATTTTAAAACCTACAATTCTAAGTAAGCCTACAACAGGAATTAGTTTCATACTTTAAGTAAGCCTACAACAGGAATTAGTTTCATACTTTACTAGTGGCCCGCCCTCGCTTCGCTTCGGGGTAGAATTGATCAAAATCCTTTCTTAGCGGATGCCTACGTCATAACATCTACCTGCATGCCAAATTTCAGCCCGATCCGTCCAGTGGTTTGGGCTGTACGTTGATAGATCACTCTGTCAGTCAGTCACCTTTGTGTTTTATATATATACATTCTCTTACTTTGTAGGTTGCATTTATAAAAAAATAAAACGACAAGAAGAATTTATTAAATAAGCTTAATTCACGACATCGGTTAATTCTAAAATATTTTGTTTGCAGGGCCTATCAAATGGCATGGAGAATGATCAGAATAGCGCAAACCAATTGCAGCCGAGCGAGCTGACGCACAAACGACTTTCCACCAGCTCCACTACCTCCAACCAGAGTTACGACTCCACAGTCGAATACTCCGTACCCAAACACACGTACAACCAACGCGGATCGACGCAGCGCAACAGTGACGTCAGTGATACCAACGAAAGCATCACTTACAGCCAACCCAAAATAACAAACCCTCTCTTCGGAGTAAACGCTGCATCACATTATGCCCCTGGTTCGATACAAGCGCACGAACAAGTCTCACAGAAACACTACGAAAAAAGCCTACCGAATGGTGTAAGAAAAGCGCCAGAGGGCCAAGACAATGACGCGTTCAAATCCGAGGACTCGTTAGACGGTAGGAAAGAGTTGGTTGTCAACCCCAACCAAATAGCGATCGCTGAAGCCGGCACCGCGACATACACCACGGACAATAATGGTAAAATCAATGTTCATGTCACCGTCATGATTAACGCAGGTAATTATATGCATCCTTACGAACAGTTGAACGTAAAGCACATTATGTATAGCACAATAATTTATTCATATAACAAAAATATCTTGTAAAGTTCTCCTAACAGTTTTGCACAGTGATGGTTATATTGTAATTGGAGGGACTGTGTGCCGGGGTTCCAGTATCGAAAGCTCTCGAGGATGCATATTATGAGGCAAGCAGTCTCGGTTGTAGTTGCATGCGTTCTAGTCCATTGGTGTTCCTTCTGTGATATTGTTGTTATCGGGCTGTTTTAGTACATAGTCCTAGATAGAAGCATGGTTGCACTCATTTCTATCTATATAGCTGTCTCTTTCCTTCAAAATGTATATACACACAAGAATGTACTCGTACCTATTTCACTTTAATATTATTTTTACACTTGAGCTTTGGGCACTTGTATTTTAGTTAAACACGTGATGAAATTCTTTACGCAACTCCAATTCATTTGTATTACTCTAATGAAGATAAGCATAATGTTTACTAACAAATGTGAAAGTGTTGCACTACATAATCATAATTGAGAAACGTCCGCCCGTTCATTGAAACTTATGCTTATCTCAGTTAAAAAGAAACGCGAGAATTATCATGATTTTCCATAATTTCATCAAAATTCCGCCCATTTTTTGGTAGATTTTGTAATCGATTTATCGGGCGTTTCAGGGACTTTAGCGGATTTGAAGAAACAACGCGCGCAGATCAGAACCAACGGCAGTCCCGTAGAGAACAGTCTGAACTCTACTAACAACCACAGTACGAATTCTATACCGGAGATGACGAAACAGGAGCAACCAGTACATTTGAACCCTCTCAGCTTATCACCAAGCTCTGGCACCGTGCCAAGATTCACTGGCAACACCAGCGAAGTAGTTGGCGACACCAGATCACATAGGTGCTGTATTATCATGTAGATCAGTGGTTATTAACCCGAAATGGTCCGTGAATCCATTTGAAAAAATGTTATAAGAATGCATTAGAATATTGCCTCCAAACAATCAGGGGCCTTTTACCCTAGGGCCAAGGCGGCCGGCTCAGGGCGGCAGAAACCAAATACGAGATTTATTATTGACCTATATTTTGGTTTCATTTTATGCTCTATTCAACTTCCTATGTGACAAAAGATAAACAAATAAACCAATGTGTCCAAAACTTTTTTTATCAAGCGTAAAGATTGCCGGTGTAACCAGACTGATTACAAAATTTCACATTTTAATGTGAGTTATTTTGCTTTATCAGTACTCTTTAATTTAGTAGTATCATAATGGATTTAAAATATGAGAATAGCTACAGTTTTAGGTCTTTTTTAAAATGTGACATTTTTTCAATTATTATATTATAATGATAATATTATATGATTATAAAATGTTACCTATAGAAAAATCTTTTTATGGTTTTTTTTAGCTATAGTCTCAGAGGAAGTTGAATATGGTATAGAGGGGTAGGCGTCCACATCGTAAAAGGTCCCTCATTCCCAAAAGGTTAATAACCATTGAAGTAGATGGATATAAGAACACTGGTCCAGTCGGTAAAAAAGAGAGATTGAAGAAGCGTACAAGTCTGATTGTCATTCCAAAAAAGATTATATTTATCAATTTATTAGATTCGTACAACCTTGTATTTAGAGTTTTTATTATGTATGTATATTGTGGAGATTTGATGGTGATGTTGAAAGTATTTAATTATACAGACAGCAACAGATCAATATTTCAAATATGTCTTTCTTCAGTTGATTTTGAGTTTTCTAATACTTCACCGAACCGAATCGCTTCACTAAAGTCATCTTTTGGCAACTTATTGATCTGTTACTGGCTGTACTTATACGTTTAAGCGTTCCGTTTTCCGATTAGCCTTTACGTAAGTGAGTAGGTATATTGTTGAGGTTACGTTGATTATTGCCGATGAATAATTGCCATTTTTGCTCACGAAGCAAGGGCTTGCCAATGTGCTAAGAAACCGTGTGATAAATGTTGAACAGCTCAACAGATTTTGTTTTTATATATATTATATATATTTAGAGAGAGATACTTAAGGAATTTTAAATAAATGGTTGCTATTATTTTATGTAGTGTTAGAAGTGTATCCTATATTTGTCTTTTGAGAGAGTTGTCATTAAGTATTTTTACAATTTTAGGATCGTCGCGCCTTAAATGTTATAGTACTATGAACATTCCATACATGTTTACAATTCAAAGTAATGGTGATTCCAGTATCAGTATGTATTTAAAATCTATCAGTATTTCAATGGTATTTGAAAGGCATAATAACTTAAATAGAAAATCTATAATGAGAATAAAAGGGATTGTACGAAAGTGCCTCACAGAATGTATTATAAATATCTGTTATGTAAAATAGCATAATTTAAGTTCATAAATTATTGAGAGAATGTAACGATATGTTTAAATAATAAATAAAAGTAGTGGAAGTAATATACATTTATATATGTCATGCATTTTGTTCGAAAACTATTAATTATTTCGATATCGAGTGATATTATATCTAAACTGCGATAACTGCCTTATTAGACAGATTAGAGTCATTATTTCGTGATTCGGACCATTCCAAGGCAATAAAAACTAATAATAGCATTCGTTAAATCTGTTGTATAGAAAAAGGACAACATTTCAGAACAAACATGTTTGTCCAAAATTGATTAAAATGACAATGATAAAAAACAACTCTATCCATAACCCAAAAAATATAATATTAGAGTAGGTGTTTAATTATTATTGATAAAATTTTGTACAAAGTGCATAAATCATTTTCGTCTATTCCATTAACTTATTTAAACCTTTTTCAGTTATTGAATCGAGTCTTCTGTAAAGGTTGGAAAAATGACGATAAATTGTTTATAATATTATCGATGTTCTTAGTACCTAGTGAATGTCTTGTCATTTTGTAATAATCGCCTCATTCGAGTTGACCTTTGAAAGACTGTTTCTGTAGTAATGAATATTGTAGTAATGTCAAGTGTAATTATCTCTTACAACTTTTATAAAACGTTTTTTCGTGTTCGATCTAGAGACATGCTAATACAAAATTTAACAGTCGTTCTTTCGGTTCTCAAAGGAAATTTAAATACATACTTGCTTAAATCTTATTAATTAAAAATTGTCTCATTGCAGACATTTTTATTTGTGATAGATAATCCTTGCTTGCCTTATATGAGAAAATAATAATGTTGCAATATGTTTCGGCATAATGAGGTTGTTAGAATGCGATTAATAATATAAGGAGACCGAAAAATGTCCCATGATAATTCATAAAAGTCAGTCAAAATATAAGATATCTAAAAGAAGTGTAATTAACTTTCATAAAATTAAAATCTATGCACTACCACAGGAGAACTTACTTTGTGGAGATTCACAAAGCTGCTTTGTGTTATTATGCATTTTCAAAGAATGTCATTAATAATTAATTATTGTAAAAATATAAGTAATTGTAATTGTTTTTCTTGGTTTAAATGATATTGCGCACGCGCATAGTCCAAATAAAAGAACAGCTGTAAGTTGACTAGAGTGAGGGGGCCACGGCATTCGTGCTGTTACTTCGTTTGATTTCTGTACATTCTCAATAACGTTTATAATTTTTTGTTTACTTTTAATACACATTTAATAGCAATGAAGCCACGGTGGCGTGGCGGCCAAACTATCACAAAAACACATACATATAATAATATATTGAAGCGATGTCACTTTACTCTGAGTCGAAATAACATTGTAAAAACTGCATAAGTGTTTATTATATTATTATGACCACTTTAAACATTTAACGGCCAGATTGATAAATCCAAGGACAGGGGAAGTTGCAGGTTCGACTCCCATCTGATGCCAGCATCGAGTGGATTTTTTTATACTTTGTAAAAATTCCTTAAATGCAATAGTGTTAAACCACTGTTTGCACCATCTTAATTATAATCATCCTTGCAGCAAATGGACCTCATGTCTTTAAATCAAGAATCGCACATATATTGTCTCTACATTGACACAGGGTTATATATGTTTGCCTTACTTTTATACAGAGACATTCTTCTACTTTCGTAACAGTCACGCCACTGCGGCACTAATATTATATCTCAATCAGAAGGTGTCCTAATCTTTCTCAACGATTACTAACATAGATTATACTACATAACTATACAGTATAACTACGAAAATATTTATCAGCGTTATTGAAATGAACGGATGAGTCATAGTGCCTTTTCCTTAGTACTGAATACTCAATACGTGCCAATTTGTTTTATTAGACTTTAGAGACTCGTCAGCACTAATTTCAGTCTAACATTTTTGTCTAACCTTTATACCAAACACGTGTCCTTTGCTCGTTTTTCTTTATAAACAAAGCAACTTACTTGAATTCAAAGTCTAAAACTCAAACACTTATCCATTTCTAAAGAACAACTAAATATTACGGACAATGTTGCTTAGAGCTGGTCTCGGCAACATAAAAAAACATTGTTTTTAACGTCCTTCGTAAATAGACATCCAAAGTATCATCATCATTTAATGTGAATTAACACGCGTAATGAAATCTTGCGACATATTTTTGTTTAAAGTAAAACGAGCAAAAGGAGAACTTACTCGTTAATAGTTATTTATGATATTAGTGCGGTAAGTTGGTTTTTACAAACGCTAATACCATAGTCACGAGTTTCTAAATACCAATCCGCACGAATGTCATACAACGTTATTCAACACATTTGCGAGAAAATAGTCCCTATGCTCCATTTATATTATTTGCGAGAAAATAGTCCCTATGACTCATTTATGTAATGAAGCAAACTCTTTTCTAATAAGAAAGTGGCGCCACGTGCGGGTGGTGAAAATTGGGACTGCATCACGTATTAAAGTGATACAAAGTTATAGATTAAAAGCACTTCCAAGGAGGTTTGACCGAAATAAATAAAAAAAAATCCGTAAAGAATACGCATGGCGTCATGTATGGGAACGTGCGGTCAAATGTTTTACCGCACGCTACGTTGTATATAACATAATTTTAAAATTTCGAATAATGTATACAACCTCCGTAAATGTACTTTTGAGCAAATGTGTTGAAAAAAAGACATTACTTGCTTGCTCTTCGAGTCTTAACCATCTGTTATGATATCCGTTTTGAAAAGAGGATTTTCGTAACGAGAAAAACTGTAATCATGTTTTATTAGTGTGTAATAATAATGTATATAGTTCTGAAACTGTTTTTTAAATCACTCTACCGTTAGTAGTCAACTCTTTAGGCAATTTTGCAATGTTCGAATTGTAAAAGTTTGTTTTGAATCTAGTGTTCATTGTCTGTGGTATATTGTAAGAGTAGGGCAGTTGTGACATTCCGTTTCCTTGTCTATGTAATGTTTAATTACTATTAAAAGTCTTACGGAGCCGTCGGCCTCTTTAGAAGTCACTACAAATGTCATATGATATTTCCTCAATTATTTTCTTCTATATAGTGTACATAATATATATGCCTGATTTTTATACGATTAATGCCATGACACCGTGATTACAAGCATGATGTAATACGACTCTTATCGCTCGGTAATACGGGTTAAATGTATCAATAATGTAGTCACACTTTATTGTACCTATATTGTTGTTAAACTAAACAGAGCATGATTCACCTTTCACAACGCGTATACAAAATGAGCTTTACGCTAATTTAAAAATTCTTTTGAAATAAAGTTACATAGCCACATTATAACCCGACCAACACAATAAATTGGACTAATTTTCAATACAACTTTACTATGTGATGCGTCAAAAAGTCAAGGGGGTCTAAAATAGCGAAATTGTATGTTTCATATATGGTTCAAAATATGTTTCTTATCTGAAAATGACGAGATATTTCATGAAACATACAATGAATATAATAGTAAATGAAATGTATAATTGACAGATTTGATGAGAATTCGTAAATTCGCTACTTAGATCAAACATCAGTAATATCAAATTGAAGAAATCATAGATGGAAAACATATTTTCGATATTTCATTAAACTCAATTGGCCTTACTACCAAACGTAGACTAGAGTTAAACCTGGGCTACAATTGATTCTGTCACTTCTGTTTGCTATAAAGAAGATAAAGACAACATTAGGTTTAAACCAAGACTTAACTATAGTACGCGTTTTGTAGGAAGGGGTCTGTCTGTATTTTAGAGCCCCAGGGCAAGGTTTTTTATTTGTCTAATGAGGCTAAACACCCTTTCGTTATGTATATTTGGGCATTATTTCAGTAGTTTTTCTGAAGAGATCGACGGTCTTAAACCTTTGAAGACACCACACGTTTGTCATCTAAATGGTATCAGCGATATCTCTTAATTCCCATAATTATATTGAGTGAATTCATTCGTCCATATCATAGTCATTAGCGTAGCTATATTACTCGAAAAGATATATTATTGCCTGTACTTAAAAAGTACTTATAAACCTATGTGTATTGTAACTATATACTATCGGATGTGTAAATTAAATAGTAAACTATTTTGTCTACATTATTTATTTTTGATTGAATTAGAAGGGAAATTATTGGTCATATAACTTTGAACCTTATGTGTCTAATAATAGATTGTATTTTTACAGTAGGTTTGTTACCTTGAAACTAATTGTAGCAAGTTTTTCGATGTACTTAAACTAGTAACTTTCCTGTAATATATGTTACAATAAACACAAAGAAAACAAGTAAACCTATTGTAGAAATAAAGAATGCAAAAGTACCGTAAATATTTCTTCATAACTAAAACAAAGCAATACAAAATGAACTTAAGTAAACAATAAGAAAATAACACATGTGAAAAAGTAAATCCATTTTTGTTGTTAATCTGTTGAGGATTGTTGCTAAGTGTGAGTTTTCAAACTTCAGAACGAATTTGTAATCATCTATTTCGGAGGGTTATTTGATATTAAAGCACAGGTTTTCCGTATGGCTCTCTTCAAATTTTGTAAAATATCATATTTATTCAAATGAGTTTGTTGAAAATTCACACTGCGCTTTGAACAATCGATTGACTTGCGAAACTAGGAAGATTTATTCTCATAAAAGAATATATAATAAGTTGAAAAGGCTTTTTATAGCTGACCCCACACTCCAAGGGCTCAATTTACGCGACGCCAACTAAACAATTCGTACAATAATTTTACTGTTGTATATTAGAGCAAAATTTATATTCTAAAAATTTAAGATATAATCGATACAACTATTTATGTTCAAACGTGTAGTTCTTCTAAAATAAAGCTCAGTCATTTAAATATAGATACTATTATTATAGTCACAATAGCGTCGTTTTTACACTCTTTTAAGATTACAATTTTACACAAACCAGTAGTATTTTTTACCTCTTTAGGCATACTTGGTGATTTGTGGACAGTTTATATTTCCGTCTATAAGGTTTCATAATATAAACACGTTTCACTCAATACAAATAAGCCGAACTGTAGATCGTTGTAGATGGACTATCTATATTGTTGATGAAGCGTATTCTGGCCGCTAATAAACCTTGCCTCTTTAAGGACCACTTTGCCATATCCCACAATAAGAATTATATAATTATTATTAGTCTGTTAATTGTAATTAATCACATTAAAATTTATGCTGGTTATTAACAACAATTTAAAATTATGTGTAGTTTATTTTTTCTATCTCAAATATGAAAATATATATATTTTTTGTATTTAAAATACACAGAGCATTTTACACGCAACCGTGCAAAAACTATGGTAAAAATATTGTACAGAAATCCAATAAAGCTTATGAGAATAAAATAATATACTATATAATATTCTCTATTTAATATCCATTAGTGTCGGTACAATTTTTTTTGTTGAAATCCTTTTAGGTTCGTTATTCACTTTGTAATAAGATCTTTTTTTGAACAGAAAACTGTCTTTTAATGAAAATAAAACGTTTATAAAACAGTACCTAATTGTCTCGTTGTTCTGAACGGCAGAAAGATGAAGGTAAATAGAATATGCTCAAAGACGTAAGTAAATATTAGCTAAATCCTTAATTAATAAAAATAGTCACAATTCTATAAACATTAAATGACTTTCGGTCGCACTCAGATGATATGCTTGTCGAAGTAATCTTGTTGATTAAACTCTATTGCTATTGCAATTGTGCAAGTCACAGCATCAACTTTAATCAAAAATAAAAGTAAATTGACGTCTCGTGAGTGTATCCGTATATAGTCATGTACTTATCACTTAATATGATTGTTCCTTTTCACGTTATTATTTTATAATTATATTTATTTAAGTATAATCATAATATTATAGTAATTTTTGTTAGCGGGAAGGTACTTAAAGTAGCTTACCTTAATTTAACAGAAAATAAGGTACTTGATTACAAAATCGCTAATAACAAAAATTGCTATATTGTTAATGACCATAAAAGTTTCAAACACTATATATAGGTACCTAAATTATAACATACAACAGCTGAGCTTCATAGTTTATAAGCATATCAAAACCCCAAGTTATATCAATAAATTATTGCAAAATATTCTTATTATTGTTAACTATATTTTATGATTCTTATCTATTTTTGTACACTTTCTATAATGAACAATGACGTTGTTCAGTTCTAATCGTTGTACAATGTCGATATAAATGTCTTGAAAGTATAATATTGTCGCAGCATTTTATCCGATTTGCGTGACGAATATGTAACAGTGTATGACTAAAACGGCAATAAAAGTAAAAATGATGGAAAGTGTTACATTGTAAATATCTATTTATATAACTTATAAATTACGTTCATGCCCCATGTGATCTATTGTGTAAATGGTATGTGACTTATTCAAAGAGGTTGTTTAATAGACCACAACACTTGGAGTATTTAATAATATTAATAATTATTAATTATTGGTATTCAACACAACTGTTCAAAGTTTATATTGTTTCGAGTATAGAATTGCTTTATTAACTTGTGGAGCAAAGTTGTCGATACAATGCAATGTTATTATTTTCTTTTTTAAATTAACTGTACAATACCTACTGTTTCATATGAAAAGTCAGTTGCGACGGTACTTTTTATATAGGTACTTAAGTAGAATAATTGAACTTTGAACAGCAGTGTAGTAAAACTGTTTATTGAATTGTAAAAAAATAAATAAATTCGTTTGATTAAATCCTAATAATCGTATTTTATTAATTTATAACCTGATAAAGCTCAATTTACACTGATGTAGTGCTATAGCGAACAATGGGCGTCTTCCGAGAGTACCTATACCTACTCTGGAAAATAGTACCGACAAGTAAATAAACTTTGAAAGGTGGTTTCGAAATGTGTCATGATTCAAAATCACACATTAATTATGGTATAGGAGCCTAAGCGAGGATTACTGGATTTACTCGAGCGCGGCAGAATAACATAAGGAGGGCAACCTTGCACCTTGTGAAGTAAACCCACCATATCTGGGCCCTCTATGTAGGGCCGAACGACCATCTAGGGCAGCAAAAAAAAATTTCAATCAACAACCATGACTACTGTACACAAACCAATATCGAGTGCTGCTAGTTCCATTAAGCGTAAGTTTTGTGAATTTGCTTGATATTAGAGTTCATAAAACGACTGGAAATTTTACGTGTTTTTTACTCAATCCCGTAAAAACGGCTTAACGGAATTGCATGAAATTTGGCACCCATAGGTGATAGTGTTACCTGGATTCAATGAGACGTACAAAAAAATTTGAGGTTCCTGTAGGATTCTCTAAAAATTTAAGTTACGAACTAGTACCTATCTTTAAACTTCTGCTTTGTGATTTCGGGGCAAGCGGCTACGTCACATAGTATGGGTTGATAAATTAAGCGTAGTCAAGGTCACATCCGTCCTGACGGCGCGGAGCACGCGCGTTTGCGTCGTAGATATAGATTAGTTATATACCAGAAACTACGTAACAGCCGCGTTGCGTGACTAGTTTCCAATACAGAACATTGTCTGTCCAAATCGGTAGTAAAAAGTAATAACTTTACCTTACTTATTTGCGGGTAGGAAGTAGTTTAAACGTAGAGTCATTAGGTACTACATCTTCCAAAGACGTTTATCCAGATCACTATATATATGTTATTTATTTAATTCTAAAAAAACTAAAGTAAGAGGTCGATTGTTTTGAAACATCAAAATGTGACTAATGGTTAATCCTTCAGGTAGGAAAGCAGAAATCTTTAAAGATATAGAATAAAAAAAATATGCTCCAGGAAGATGAAATTTCTATTAATCAATTCCAAGTTAACACGGGTTTATCAGAGCCGTATGGGATTTTTTGTTGGTAAAAATTCCCACTCGTTACCGGAGGGAACAAAGCCGGCGTTGACAGTTGGGAATGACCGGTAAAAAATCGATAAATAAAGACATCTAATCGGGATTACACATTCGAGTTAAAGTATGCCCAGAGTCCCAGACACAAGACATTTTATGAATTTATAATAATAATACTTTTATTTCAGAACATGCCCATAGTTTGTTAGTAACAATAACTTATAAACTACGTTAGTAAATTACAATTAAATTATACTAACAGATGCCACAAAATAATTCAATTAATAAAGTCATTAAAATTTATAAATACATTATTCCACATTAAAATTAAAATACATGTCATAAAATTCAGTTAAAAATCTACAAATTAAATAATTTCATGTACAGCTTAGATTAGAACAAAAAAAATGGTTGCCTGTAAAGTCGGTTTTACGGGCGAAGATTTTACGTGACAACGTCTTTTTCTCGGTAGAATATTTATTGATATGAATATAATTAAATTGCACAATAGGAACAAGGAATTGAATGAAAATAAGAATTGCACAAATTTTAACTATAGAAATATATTTTGTTTACTAAAACATTGTACATGTAAACTTAAACTTAACACGAGAGACTCATCGTAACGTTACCGAGCGTTACACTTTTTCATAAGTGACTCCCAGCCGCAACCTAATTTAAGACGTTGTCACGTCAAAATGGTTTTGTTTAAATCTAAGATGTACCGTCGGCGTCGTCCCAACTCTGTAGAACCGGGCGCAGATGCATGCATGCGCAATGCGCATCCAGTGTTGTAGTCTAGTCAACAAGTGCCTTTTTGGTCAACTTTTTTCAGCAGTCTCCGAAAATTATGATCGAGGTGTCATTCGATTCGGAATGGCATCTACTTAGATGATTTTTGAAAAAAATGAAGTTCCGCAAACAAAAATTGCAAAAGTTATTAAAAATTAACTAAAAAAATTTTTTTTGCAAATATCTCATAAACTATTAGATATTTAAGAATACATAATATTTTTCAATAATGGGTCCCGACTGTTAAAGTAGCTTTGTTCCTTATTAACAGAATTATAGACTACTGGACTTGTTTTTTTCTTTTCAGTTTTTATTTGAATTTACCTTTTTTATTTCAATTAAATTTACCTTTTTTATTTCACACTTTTTAGTTAGTCAGTATTTTAAGACGGTAAATACCGTAGTCTTGTTACTTCAGTAAGGTAATTAATATCGCGGGAATTATTAAGTACCTTGCGGTGGTCTAAAAGATTGATTTATTAAGACATTTATAGAGACTTTACCAGCGGATCAAGGCTGCAGATGGGCCTCAGTTTTCGCAAAAATGTGTGAAGTTAAATCAACTCGTTACATAAATATCTAATGTATTTAAATTTTATAATAAACTAGCACTTATTCAAAAGGTCATCTTTTATTTATGATCTTTTTAGTAGTTTAGCAATAAATATAAAATTCATATACTTTTATTCGTCGACTATTTAAAATTGGCAGTGGCTGCATTTTCTT